ACAGTTTTGCTACTTTGAGCTTTTAACTCCTACCTTGCTAATTTTAGCATTCGGCTACAGTTTTGCTGCTTTGAGCGTTTAACTCCTGCCATGCTAATTTTAGCATTTGGCTACAGTTTTGCTACTTTGAGCTGCTAGTTTTAGCATTTGGCTACAGCTTTGTTAATTTGAACATTTAGCCGTTGCTTATTTGATCTCTTACGCAGCAGTTTCTGTTTTGCTGACTGTTCTTCTTGTTTTAATTTTAAAAATTCAGTTAATTATTTAACAAATTTTAGCAGTCACTCAGAGCTCAACAATCACTTTATTTTTCACTGAAAATGCAGTTTCTTTAGTGCTGATTGGCTGAGACAACGTCCCGATAGCTGCAGGCAAGAAAGAGCTGAATTATTATTGTTTACATTTATTAAAGGAACTCTGCGAACAGCCTTGTGCAGCAGTTCCACTTACTGTGGTGGTGGTTATATTTCTGTAAATTGTTGGGAAACCCAAGGGAACATATTTAATTGTATTTTACTCATGCTTTTCTGGTGTGTTTGAGTGACTTATTAGGTGTTAATAGTCTTGTGTTTTTTAGATAAACAAGGTTTAATTACAATAAAGCACTCGAGGCATCTGCTGCTTGGAAAAGCACATTTGGAACGTTGCCGTGTAGATGACTCATTCCTCAGATCATATTTGTCATTTCGAATCGCAGCTTGTTTTGAAGTCTTTTATACAAATGACGAAAAACAATCACCTGCTGAACTGCAGCCGAACGATTAAATTACGAGACAACAAAGTTGACTGCATGAGAACTTTTTAAATAAACACAAAGACGGTTACAGTTTGCAGAGTATTACCGTGTTAAGATTGAACAACAAAACCTGGATGAAAGTCGTGACGATCTCCACTTTTGTATCGAGCTACAAAAAACAACAAAGTATTTTGCTTTTCTTTCATATACTGCAAATAGAAATTTGCCAGTGAGGACATTTCAAGCTGACAGCGAAATAAAATTAAAACAGCTGAAGCCAAAAAGAGAAGCGTCTGTGCTTCAGTTTATGTAAGGCTGTTCTTTAACATTCACCAACCATCGTCCCTTCACTCCGCTGCTCCCAGTCAATCCAAAACTCTCTCAAAGGTTCATTAAGTGACCATGAAATGAGAGCAATACCAGCAAAGGTTGACAGGGTTGTTGAGCAACACAAATGACTCATAAAATGACCAAAAACCAGGGCTGAGGCAGCCATGTTCCAAAAGTGGCTACATTTCAGTGACACTCTGACCTTTCTACTTGCAGCATCGACTGCTGATCTCCTAAAATAAAATCTAAGAAGAGCTCCTTTGTTGAAAATCAAACCTTCGTTTTACTCTTGTAAAACTGCCCCGAAGGAAACGTACTGAATGAAAATAGCAATCTGTGAAGGAATAGAAATAACCAACATATGTTGTGCAAAAATCTTGTGCAATCTGTTGGTAGTCAGCGCATGTGTTGGGGATGGTGCTCAGCTACTACCATGCCACGTATTTTTTTTTTTATCAGTATCTGCACAGCCACTTGCTTTACAGACATTTTTGTGTTTGTTAAGGTCAATTAGACGTGGCAGCCATTTTACATCAATCAGACTCTAAAAGTGAATCAACTGTAGATGTAAACTGAATGATTAGATGTTTCATTAAAATTTATTCAGTGTTTTTTTTATATATTTCGCTAACAGACTAGGTTGATGCTGAAAATGTCAAATATAAGATGTCACATGCTTCCTTCAAGCTATGTGTTGTCCTAAGAATCTTTTTTTTTAAGTTTACTTATAATCCTTTCCATTATTT